AAAACCGTCCCGGGGACACGGGGTGGTTCCTGCCGCCCGCGCAGGCTGGCCGACTAGTCTGGCTAGCCCTGTGCTGCCTGGCTCTGAGGACACCGACTCGCTGCTGCCTGCTCTCTGCCCGCCGAGGCGGCTCTGAGCTCGCCCGGTCTCCCCCCCTTTCCTTCCTCCAACGTACGGCTGGGGCGGGGAACGGGGTTGGTGCTGGGAGCAGAGTCCGGCACGGTGTTTCTCATGCCTCCGCTTGCTGTTGCAGCTACAACCCCGACCTGGATTCGGACCCCTTTGGAGAGGACGGCAGCCTCTGGTCCTTCAACTACTTCTTTTACAACAAGAGGCTGAAGAGGATTGTCTTTTTTACCTGTCGTTCCATCAGGTCAGGCCACGTGACACCTCTGAAGTCACCCTAAAAAAGAACTGCCTTGCCTGTTCGCAAGCCGCGTCCCTGCAGGGGAGGAACCTTTGGCTCCCGCTGGCCCCGGCGCTGGGCGCGGTAGATAAGTGCTCGGGAACCGCCCTCCCGGCACTGCCCCGGCCTCATTGCCCGCGCGCCAGGTTGGCCAGGGAGAGTGGAGCTCAACCAGAGCCCGCTTCCCTCCGTCTTCCCAAGACGGACGTCACCGAAGGACAAGCCGGAGGGAGCCGTGGTCCCCGGGGAAGGGGTGGCCCTTCAGCTGGCACCAGGCTGCCGCTCGCGGGCACGGAGGGGCACATTCGGGGGGCAGTAACCCCTTGGGGGGCGCTGCCCGCGGCCAGCCCCTCCTTCCCGTGGGCTCGATTTGGGTGCAGAGGAGACTCTCGGCAGGGACCTAAGCCCACTGGAGAGAGGAGCGGGATCTCCCCTGCGGCCGCACCGTCGCGGAGGGGCGCCGGCTGGGCGCTTACGTTGTGCTGCCCTTTTTCCTCCAGCGGGTACGCGTACACGCGCTCGGAAGCTGGCAATGAGCTGGACATGGATCTTGGTGAAGAGGACGCGGAGGAGAACAGGGATGCCGGCGACACCGAGAGCGGCAGCATCGAGGAGGACAGGTGTGTGAGCTCGGCGCTCCGGCCTGGCCCGGCGTGCCGGCTGCGGGCTCCCGAGCTCCCGTGGGTACGGGGGGCCGAGGGCCCTGTCCTGCTGGGCCTCGAAGCTTCTGCTCCACTGCCTCAGGAGCGTGGCTCGGAGCTCAGCGGGACCGAGCTGCTCTCAGCGATGCTGCCGCCGCTCTGTGCCTCCCGCTCTGCCTCCTCCTGCCTCAGCGCGGCCGCAGAACAGTAACGCCCGTGTGCTTGGTTACAGGTTGCAAGTTATTTGCATGTGAGTTTCCAGAACCGCTCCGAGGTGCCTGGCAGCCCTGCCGAACCTCCCTTCTGCCTGCGTCCCGCCGACGAGGCAGCCCCGAGCTCCCGAACTGCCCCTGCCCGGCGGCTGCGGCGTCGCTCTGCCCGACACATACACTGGAGTACCCCAGGCATCTTGGAGCACGACGGACTGAAAGCGGCTGCGGCCTCCTGGCCGAAGACGCGTCCCCTCGCTCTGGTGCTGCCGGCCAACCTCCCCTTTCCCTTTGCCCGCGGCTGCTGCGGCGCGGGCCGGGGCTCGCCGGACAGCTGTGTGGGAGCTCCGAGAAGCTTTGCTGCACTTTATCGCTGATCTCGTTGGCTGCACTGACCTGCAAACTCCTCGTGGCGCTGAAGCCGGGCTGGATCTCCCTCGAGCACTTTTCTGTACTGGTTGTGACCCAGCGAACGCCGTCCGTCCACAGCACCAGCAGCAGCGGAGGGACGCCTCTGCCCGGCCTCCCCCGGAAGCAGCGTTTGTTGAACTCCCCACGAACTGTCCTCAGCTCCTTCCCCGGAGAAGAGTCCGTTTGTTTCAAAGAGGTTTGCTTTGCTCTTGCCCTCCCACAGTGGTTTTCTCTGGTGTTTCGGTTTTGTTGGTTGGTTGTTTGGGGTTGTTTTTTTTTTTTCTTATCTTTGCTGGGTGGCACCGGCGTCCTGCGCCGGTCCTCTGCAGAGGGGTCCCACCAAGCGGCCCCGCGGGTGAACGTTGGACCGGGCGCCTCAGCCCGCACCTCCCATGGTTTTCTTTGGGTTTTTTGTTTGTTTTTTTTTTTTTT